ACACACACACACACACAATAATCTGCGTTTTATAATAAGTAAGATCAATGACGTTATTTCAAACAGTCTTAAGGCTCTGAAATTTCATATGACAATATTTGTTATCTGCTAAGAAATTCCTGACCTCGCTCCAGAAAACAATCAACAATATTTCCCCTCCTAAGAATAAATATTTAAAATTTGGAAAATTATTTATTAACATCTGAATTTAGTAAATCTAACTTTTAGACCCCTGGAGACTATTTCTATAATATGAATACGATAATATAAATTCACAAAGTTATTATTCATTTTTTTCAGCAATTTTCCTTTACTAGCGCTGTATAAAATTGATTACTCAAACCTTTCGTATAATTAATTACTCAACCTTTTAGATATTTTATCGAGTAACGTATCACTAAAGCCTAGTGATTTTAAAGTAAATGAAGCAACACGATAAAACACACGAACGAAGTTTTCCTAAACAAAATATTGGTAGCAGCTATAAAACAGCGTTCCCATCTGCTTAAATCTACTGCTGAAAAATTAAACGTACACATAAAGCAACGTAAATACGTGACATTATCCTTATGTAGACATATTTTGTTTGTTCTATCATACTAATTATTCTGTATGTAGTAAAGAAGTGTAAGTATTTTATGTAAGACTAGTTCGCGAGGACATCTGTAATTCTCTTTCAACTTGAAATAAAATGAATAATCATTGATAAAATGTATTTAATGTAAGTTTGTAGAGCTGCGCTTGAAGGTTATGTTTCTTCGCTGGTAGCAGGTTTATTCCCATCCACCCCTCTCTCTTGCTCTCTCTCTCTTTCTGTATATATATGTGTGTCTGTGCGTATGTATACTGAAATACAATGGTAGCTCTTACGATCCAACTATAATCTTGCTGGTAATAAAAATGCTCAGTACGAATTGAAATCTATAAAATGTAAGAAGAACAAACACATAAGAAATAAAACCAAAGTTACTCGAATTTTACTCTCAAAATGAAAGATCGTCAGTCTAGGTTAAATCTTAACTCGCAATACACGCCTTCAAAATGAAAAACATGTCATCCGGGTTCCTTATTAGATATTAAATACTTTTTTGTGTATAAGTGTCTTGTCATAATTTCAGATCTTTTATTTAATATGGAAAATGGATATGGTATCGACAGTTTCGTCTCCTGGCATAATTAACAAAATTTATCACCTCGGTATAACTCTTACTATTCCATACAATATTTCATTTTTTTGAATAAGTTTATTTTTTTAGTATCTGTCTATATTTCTGAGATGAGGTAGTATGTACATTGTTTACAATATTCGGACTGTTCTTTTAATAAATAAGCCTGTGTTTTCTTATATATTTCAAGTGAAATGAAACGTTAATATGAATATGTTTAATACCTATACATATACTCATAAACCTAAATCTTTCGAAATTTAGAGCGAAAAAGAAGAGGAAGTTGTGGAGAGCAATGATCGTCCATGTCCTGAAGGATGGCACATAAAAAATAGAAGATGATGATTATTATGATGATGATGATTATGTCTGTTACACTGGACAGCTTTCTCCCTTGATGAAAATGTAATTATAAATTTGCATCACATTCTTATTAAAGTGACTAATCAATATCGAAGGATTGTTCAAACTGATCCCTTGTGGCTCATGTTTGATTGAAGACCAAAAGTTTTTTTATTTTTCTATTGTGTTTGTCTAAAACAAAAATAAAGAAAGATCTTGGTTTTTGATTCGTAAACTCATTGTACGCGGTAATAATGTAACCAGTTCATTTAAAGATCGAAAGCAACCGATGAGGACTGATCAATAAGCCCATAGCCTTATATAATTGGTTGAACTTAGATATTGATAATTAAAGTGAGTTAACCAAATAATGACGAATAATGATTTCGCTACAGAAACAAGATGCAGTTTTCTTGGGTGATTTTTGAGTCGATCACGAAAATGAACTCCATTTTTCACGAAATTTCTTCAGTTTTCTAAATTTCGAAAGATTTAGGTTTATTAGTATATGTATAGGTATTAAACATATTCATATTAACGTTTCATTTCATTTAAAATATATAAGAAAACACAGACTTATTAAAAGAACATTTTTATAAAAAAAATCTTTTTTTTTGCGTAGTTGTGCTTTTTTATATTTAGCCTGTCTTTATGGAAAAATATTTTCTATTTTGACAATATCTTGGTGGAACATTTCTCTGACTACTACAAAATTTTCGGAAAGTAGGGCAGGTGGAGGTGCAAAATGATGCACCATTAGTGACATGCTGCATCATTTTGTATGCTTCAGTCATTATCTGAAATGAGGTATTATGATTATTCACATTATTGACATTATTGGAACTGTTATCCTCATCTTCATTGCCATATTCACAATGTTTCGGCCTCTATATCTCTGAAATGAGGTATTATGATTATTTACATTATTCGGACTGTTATCCTCACCTTCATTGCCATATTCACAACGTTTCGGCCTCTATATCTCTTAGATGAGGTATTATGATTATTTAATTATTCGGACTGTTATCCTCACCAAATATTCACAACGTTTGCCTCTATATTCTTAGACAATATTTACATTATTCGGACTGTTATCCTCACCTTCATTGCCATATTCACAACGTTTCGGCCTCTATATCTCTTAGATGAGGTATTATGATTATTTACATTATTCGGACTGTTATCCTCACCTTCATTGCCATATTCACAACGTTTCGGCCTCTATATCTCTTAGATGAGGTATTATGATTATTTACATTATTCGGACTGTTATTTGCATCTACATTGCCATATTCACAAGGTTTTGGTCGTTGAACACTCCGGCCTTCTTCCGGTGACTGGAATTTAGAACCGACCCATTTGTTTCGTCCACTGGGGTAGATTATTCTCACTCCACCTGCCATGCTTCTTCCGGATAATATCAATTATTTCCCCTTTAACACAACTCTCCATTTTTTTCACCACTGCTGTGGTCTGTCATTGAACTCACAACTCTTTTCGGTTACTGGATTTAACCAACGTCTTTATCCACTGGGCCATGTCCAAACACCTGAAGAAGCCCGGTGCGTACAACAGCCAAAACGTTGTGAATATGGCAATGATGATAAAGATAACAGTTCGAATAATGTAAATAATACATGCTTCAATCATATTTTGAACTATTATTTTATAACTTGGCGCTTTATGAATTCTCAGGAGACTATTGCACACGCCTTTGAATTTTTCCAGACCCCCAATACCAATTCATTTAAGTTGGCTTCAAATTCACTATTTCTTATGAACTGTCAAATCTCAGGCCCGGCAACGATTCCTTCTTCAATTTTAGCATCACTAAGCCTAGGAAATTTAGATTTTGAATATAAAAATGAAAAATGACAGATTATCATGCTTCAAGTCTGTCACAAATTGTTTCATTTAGCCCAATTTTATATGAAGTGGTGGCAAGATTACGTTTTCTTTGACCACTAACGGTTTACCGTAAACATTATGTGAATCAGTTTTTGACTAAGTTCTTAATGGCAATTCTCTGCGTGTGTAGTGTTCGCCTCGACCTCGGCTTTCCCATTGAGACAAAATACACGTTTAATATAGTCTGCCTGCAATCCATTCAGAATAGTGTACCTTAAGATCTGCGCAGATTAACCACTTATGCTCATTGTATTAAATTTTGTTTAAAATAAAATCTAGATTTTCATGAGTTTCTTTTTAAACAAGAGAACAAGCGAAAGGAATCGATGGCAGTATTTTCTAATATGCCAATGTCCGACTTTGGTGATATGAAAAGAGTTGTCAACGCCTCTATGTTGACTCATTTTGTAAATTTACTACTTCAAAAGGACCAGATATATTATTATAGTAGTCGGCAACTTTAAAAAACGGAATTCATTTCGTTAAAAATAAAGGTTATTTTCATAATCTACGCCAAAAACGATCGTAGAAAACTACATTCTCATCTTTGTAGTCGACAAAATGTTGAATTTTATTGGACAGTCAGCAACGAATTTTTAGCTAGCAACCTACAATTAACCCAAGAATGGTGTAAAGAAAAGACAACTCCATTAAACTTGGAATGTTTCAAGTATTTAACCCCAAGTAGGCATCATTTTTATGTCGCATGTTTTTTCGGGAAGTTGTCAATCACTCGTCTACAAAACATTCTATTATTTCTACACCTTTGAGTAATCATAGTACCCGGAAAGCGGGTGTTATCGCCCAAGTTGAGATTCTCTGACTTCTACTACCAAGGTTACCCCAAGACACTATTTTTGCAGACACCAAACTTAATTAAGAACAGAAATTTAACTATTGTGAAATGTTTTAACAAAAGACAGAAATGCGGCAGAGTAATCCGACGGTGCCGTAGAATAGCTAAAGATGCCTTTCAAAATCTAAAAAAAATGAAATTAAAAAAAAAGACTCCTCTTTGGCCATTTGTTTATCCTTTGCTTCCTGCTTAGATTTGGGTTTCCGGTTCCTTATCAAGTCTACTTCAACTCTATACTGATAACGTATCCGCTTAAACTCTGATTTTTTATTTACTGCTTATTTATTTATTTTCCTTCAATAGGAGTCGATAGGTTTGCATATCGTCCGGTTTATTCTCCTCCTCGTTGTTTTGAACAGGAGTAAACGTATATCTTGTGTTCCCTGTTTAGGACTGGGTTTCCGGTTCATTTTAAAGTCTTTTTTATTCTCTTTCACTCCCGGTGGCTCCATGAACCCTAGTGGCATTATCGAACTGATTAAAAATTAAAAAAAAGACATTTTTTTCTATAAAGAAAAGAGATAGTTTCAGTGCTATTTAATATCAATCCTCATATATGGCAATGAATGTTGGACAGTTTTTTCACAGATTACTAGGATATTTGAGGCAATAGGAATTTGGCACTACAGAAAGATGTTGAGAATTCATGATCAATATAATTTTCTTTCTTCAATTATATATCATTTTCTTTGTTTATCTCCGTCTCTCGTCCCCATTTTAACTTCAAA